TGGCAGCTTGTTGGAGTGCTTACTGTAAAGAAGAAGGGCCACATGATGCATATGTGCATTGACTATTATGCATTGAACAAGAAGATGGTAAAAAATAGATTTCTTATGCCACAAACTTGATGATAATTTTTATTGCCTTGCAGGGGCTAGAAAATTCACTCATATAAGCTTTAGGAGGGGATACAACCAGATCGTAGTACACAAGGGTGGAAGATGTTCCCAAGAGTGAATTCTGTGGTAGACATGGTCACTTTGAGTATTTAGTGCTGTCATTTGGGTTAAGTAATGCTCCTCCATCTTTCATGCGTTTAATGAGCTTAATTTTTATGTGTTACATCGCTAAGTTTGTGCAAGTGTTTCTTGCTGACATCTGGTTTGTAGTGCAATATTTGTAGAACACGTTCACCATTTGTAGTTGATTCTTGATGTGTTTTGCAAGAAAACTTTTTGCCAAGATGTAATATCTTGGACATATTTGTAAGTACCTGGCTGGCCCATAGCACACTGTAGCAGAGCTTCCTATGTTAGGTGCAAGCTTTGACCATGTGGTCAACGTGGATCACAGTTCAGCTCAAGGGTATTTTAACATGGATTTAGAATAGGGACTTAACAATTCACAGTGGCAATGGCATTGCAGTGAGCTGTTGAGGTAGCTCAGGGTTGATTGGGTGGTGAGAAACCTCAAGACGAGGCATAACATAATTTAGGGAAGGCTAGGCATTTTATAACATTGGTATTAAAGGAGCTGGTTGTGATGGCTGACCAAGATGAACATTCGTACCTTAAGACTTCTAGCAGAGACACATCCTTCTCATCATCCATGTTGGTGTGACAAATGCCACTCAAACACTCATGACACTGTTCATTGTTGGCATCATCACCTAGAGCTGTGTCCTCCTTGATAGCAGCTCATCTAGAGGCAACCTTTCACAGACCACGGTGCCTTGGAACCATCCACTTGTAGCAGATACGAGCAAATGGTCCAGCAACAAGCCATCAAAGCAGCACTATCGACATCTAGCAATCATGGCAAAGCTCCAGCTTATAATCAACGTGATTAGGACTCTTGAGGAAGCAAGCCAGGCACAAAAGTAGCAGATTGCAGCAGCAACATGGGCTCAGAAGAAGCCCACAGCTCCCCAAGAGTTAGACAGCAAGGCAGATCAAAATGCCACCAACTCAACACTCATGGCATGCAAGTTGCCATCCAATTTTTCCATTTGATCCAGCACCATAGAATGTCTTTCAAGTCCAGATACTTTCACCAAGAGACACAACAGAAAACTCCATCCAGCACTTGCTCGACACATAAGTCTCCCTCTTGCTCAGTGATGTTTCGCAAGTAGCTCTTGCAAAAGCCTTGGGGCATGACACTCCTCCAATACAAGCTGTTGAAGCATGCATCTTGCTCATGAAGATGCTCTAGACCATTTTGAAATGTGCCCCATCCTCAATGGAACCTTGACTGTCTGATTTTGGTTCTATTGGCTATTTATAAAAAGTTTCTAGATCTACTAGTGAGGCACATTTACAGAATGTAGGCATTATTTTGAACATGATGGTGTTATTCCTGCATCCAGATTCACCATTCTATAATTAGTAAGTTTTTGAGATTGCCTTAGAGTGTAACTCTTGGGACTGGCCTAGCTAAATGCAAAATAAGAAAAAATACTCCTTACCTCACTTCCTTTTTCACTGGTGAAAGCCCAAAGTGTGTTTTCATATGGGGGACTTGTGGGGGTTCTAAGCTTCATACCATACTAGTCGGTGGCAAACTTATATCCTTGCATTAGGCTGTTGGTATGCTAAAATAGTGTTAGACTTTATTTGGCTTTGTTCTATATGTTGATCTTAGCATTGGGATGTTGGATGTTCTAAGATTGTTCTAGTGTTGCTCCATGTGTTGTGGAGATAGTTAGATGCCAATAATATTCTGATCCTTGGAATATTCCCTCATTGCACATGAGTATAAGAGAAATAAGATAGACATTTACATGAACACACGAATGCGAGAGTGAGAGAGGGTTGAAGCAAGAGCCTCAACAAGTGGTTATGAAGTTTCAAAACCTGTACCCTATTAACTTCTTAACTAGTCCCTATAAGTTTCCAAAGAGTAGTGGTTGCTATGAATGCAACAAAGATATTTGCAGATGTAAGGAAAGATTATGATGGATTGGCTAGAAGGAAGTGGCCGAGTAAATGGTGACAAATGGTCGTGATAGTGATGACATATGATGACTGCCTTAATTCGAGTTTGTAACTTTGGTTGATGGCTTTTTTGTTGGAAGTATCACTTGTTGGTGATGGCATTTAGTAACTAACTGCAAGATGATATCGGCTTCTAGAATGCATCTTATGGTTGTTTGGTTGCACTTTGTTAGCTAGGAGTCTTTGGCTGATAATGAGTCCACTCCATGGATTCTATGGAAGGAAGTCTTGATTGGAACCTTTGATCCACTTATCCAATTTTATGATTTCTACTGCTATTGATATCTTAGGATGGCCTTGATGAAGTGATGTAAAGAGATATGATGAAAGATGATGGTATGTGAAGAAAAAATAGAATGATTTTAGTGCAAGTATTTGAATTGCAGTATGGGTATTGGAGTAAGATGTGATTGACAGATGAGTTTGTGACTATGATTGAATGGGAATGGAGTAGAGTGGGTGTGGATTGAAGAGAATGAAAAGAACCTAGAAATCAATGGAGGTAGAGCTGGGAAAATGCAATAAGCTCCCACATGATTGGGATTGATGCTATCTCATGACCAACTCGTAAGGCTTAATTCAGGAATAGGACTTATGGAGGTTGTGAATGAGACTTTTCCAAGTGGTTTAAGATGCAATTAAGCGACTAAAGTAAAATGGAAAATTTAGTTGCTTACAATTTAGTATTAAAGCTGTTCTTTAGTCTGACCCTATTAGTGGTCAAGTATATCATCATTTGACATTGACATTTAAAGGTCCCATGAGTGGGGCTATACTTGACAAGTAGTATCCCAAGAGGACATAGCTCTCCACTTTAGTTCATGCGTGAATTGGTAGGTAATATAGTGGATAGAAAAGGGGCTAATATGGGATTGATTTTGGGATCTTGGGAACAATAGAAAGTTTTACTCAAAGATTTGAGGATGTGATCTTTATAAGTGTTTGACTTAGCAGATTAGCTAATGTGGTTGTAGTAAACAACTATAGTTGGGATCACAAGAAGATAGAGACTTTGAGATAATAAAGGAGTCGCATGATTATCCTCATATAATTGACTAGAGTTAATGACATGGGAGGTCAAATACAAATGAGGACATATATCCTAGAAATGGTATTAGGGCTATTTTTAATAGAGGCCAGAACAACCCAAGGAGTTGGGGTGTGTACTCAAAGGATGAGTTAGTGTTCTCATTATATGGAAGGATAGTTCTAAAGGGCAAAATTAGCCCATATAGAACAAACATAATCAAGTGTCAGAGTAACCCTTGTAAAGATGGTCCTTGTGAATAGAATGTGAATACAACAAGTTGTATTCAGATGTGATGGCACCTCAAAAGTAGCTAGGAGGCTAGGAGAATACAAGGAGTCCAAGATGGAGTTTGAGGAGTACGAGATGAAGTTTGAGACTGAAATTGAAACCGAGATTGAAATCGAGACAATTTCAAGTGTGAGTCCAAGGTCAAGTCCAAATTCTAATATAGGTCAAAGGGTGAAAGGCCAAAGTGATCGTCCCCTTTGGGGCGGGGAGGTGTAGGGGGTTCCAAAAGTATAGTAAGGAGAGTGTGGGGGTTGGACTCCAGTGGAACCAGTTTGGCAAAGAAAGGCTAGTATGACTCAAAAAGGCTACACCGATGTGGTGGTGATGATATAACCACTAAAGAGTCCAAGGTTAAAGTGAACACAGATGGAAAAGTAGGGTAACTTGGTGAAGTGTTCAAGAGCTAGTTCTAACTCCCCCGAGAGATCAAATAATCTATGCTTCTATTCCAAGTGTGAATGGCACTACCTACTTGAATACTTAGCATGGCTCATCAAAACCTTACTCTAGCCATATAGCTAGGGCACCCAGAGGCAAAAGGTGGGGGGAGTAACCACAAGGCTTGCATTGGGTTGTGGTGTTCTGAAACGTCATCCTAGAGTCCTGGATTGTGGAAAGGAAGAGCAATCCTTTTGTGTAGTGACCAAGGATACGGTCACATGGGGAGGAAGTCCCAAA